GCTCTCCAAAGGACCCCTGCTGCAAATCACTCGGCTGAAGCCTGTTTTCTGCAATTGTTGGATGTGTTCTAAACTGCTACAGATTTCAAAGGCACACCCATAACAAAAGGTGCACCCTTTAAAGAAATAAGGAAAGAAGTCACAGATCTAATCTCTTAGATTAGATTTAGGCTGAAAGTTTTTATTCAGCTGCTCCTAAGTGTGCTCTCACTGAAGATAAACAGAGGCACAGGACATTCTGCCCACGGGCAGCCAAAGATTAAGATGTAAATGCTACACTTGTTTAGATTAACCAAGCAGAAATGTAAAAAACAACTCAAATAAAGTATTTCCACAATTTTTCACTTCACTACAACCTTTGGTTACAAGTCTGGGTCCATCTGCTGCCTACACAGTCCCTGGAGAGCAGGCCAAGTAAGGATGCAGATGAACAGCAACTCGAGGCTTGAGTGACTGTTGCAAAACCTGCAGCACGGACACAAACACAGCACCACGTGCAGAAAGGCAGCTGTAAAGTTGTATCTGTGGTTTTTAACTCAAAGCACGCTTTTCCAGCCTGAATAAGCTGGTCTCCACCTTAGTCTTATTCTAGATCCCAATCAGCTACGTGAGTCCATCTAATGACATTTAGACATTAACAGGGCACACAGTTTGCAGTGGAAATGAAGCTGTATCCAGGCTCTGAGGACAAAACTTGCACAAACTCAAGTGAGCTCTTCACGTTAGATTTCTTCTCACTGCCTCACCAGGAGCAGTACAGGTATTAACCTGGAAACTCATCCTAAGCAGTGTAAGTACATAACACTGATGCTACCCCGCGTTTGCCACACCAGGGAAGCACAGAGCCTTCTGTCAATACCAACACTTCACTCTGAAAGCGTCTGAGCTCACAGATCTCTAAAAAACCCCCAGAGGACTGGCAGACAGGAGAGTACAGAAATTCAGGGAGTTGTTTTGAAAGTACTGCTGGGAGAAACCTTTTTGCCCACGGAGACTGACAGCTCAGTGCATGTGGGGACTCCGAGAGCGAACCTGCCGCAGTGAGAGCAGCGCGGTCAGTGCCGTGCTCCGGACACCGCTCACCCCGCGGGGCACCGCCAGCGCCGACCGCCCTGCCCTCGAACACCTTCTGCGCTGTCTCAGGTACGGAGCTGCCCGGGCGGCGGGAGCGGCTCCCGCTCCCCCCGAGCCCCGCAGCCGCCCCCGCCCGGGCTGCGCCCCGCGCACACGCCGTGCGCGGCGGGACGGGCCCGGGGGCTGCCCCGGCACGGCCCCTCCGCCCCGCCCCAGAGCCCCGGCGCCGCTCCGGGACACACCAGCACTTGTTGCGGCCGCTCCGGGCCCGCCGGGGCTCCGGGCCCGGCCAGGGGGTGGCCCGAGCTCGGCCCGGGACCCCGCGAGCGCCG